TTAAACTCAGCAGCTAAACAAAAATTACTTTGATCGCAAACAAAAAAAGAACAAAACGAGACTGTAGTTTTTGTAAATACTTATCAATAAGGTTTTTTTATTATTTTAAATCAACAAATCTTCCAAAAACAACAACATAAGAATCATCAACAATGACGATAGAAATTACATATTAAAACATGCGCGTTGATATCATCCATTACAAAGAAAAAAACAGGTTTCAGTCGCCAAAAAGATTGTTCACACTGTCTACTATCAATGATAAGATATGCACCAGTAGGTTTTAAGGCGAACATAAATGTGAATGCAAATTCAAAAAATTGAATTTTGGGCAGCTAGGGCCTCGCCAAGCCTCGCCAAGCCTCGCCAAGCCTCGCCAAGCCTCGCCAAATATTAATTGACATGATTGAAGCACTTGCAGAACTTGAAATTTATGATCAAAAAATTACTACTGATGGAATGTCTTTCCCTTTGCCCCTTCCAATATCAGAAAACGGTAAAATTGCGCAAAGTTTCATTCCGAAGTGCTTTGTCGACATTGTACAGAGTGCAGAAAATAAAATGTGTGAAAAATTAAGTTTCGTTTTTCACGATTTACTAACTTTGACCACAAAATAATGTCTTGTTTTCATCAGCATTATACGCTATGAAATTCTATCCGATCTCTTATAAATGCGCAACTGTCCAAACTTTCTGTAAAGACATATACGGGAAAATAATTTCTCAAATTAATAATTAATCAAAGGAATTCAAGGTTTATTTTATTTGGTTTATTTGTACTGTAAAAAAACCTAAAGCAATTAAATCAGTATATAATATTGATTAAAATAGATTCAGCAGCTGGTCACCCAAAATAACTATGAGCTAAACTAGTTAGGTGACCACCATTTATTAATTAAAAATAGAGAAACTAGTCAGAAAGAGGCTTACTTTAATTAACTAAATTATTCGTTAAATCATAACTGTGACAGTATTTGGATATCTGAATTTAATTAGCTTAGAGTTTCAATCACGATTTTCATAATATTTCTCCATTTTCATCTTACCCTAGCTTAGATTTGACTGGGAAGATCTATTAAACACTGGATCTCAAAACACTTCAAAAATACTACACTGCTTGCGCGTGAGATATCGACTCTTTTCTCGGCGTTTAGCAATGTGGTATAACGCCGTCTCTCGTGTTTGACATGTTGCAACAAAAAACACTGTTAATTCTGTGAAAAAGGAAGGTGAATTTAGAAACGGTATTTCTAAATGACAGCTGAGATTTCCAAGTCCCGTTCTGAAATAGTCTTCTGTCAGCCAATAACTCTCAATGATTTCTGAGATGAAATAAATAAATTGCTACCGATAGCTGCTCACTCCGCGAGTTGGAACCTTCGAAGTCAAATCACGTTACACACAAACTGCATCGTAGAGAAATATAATCAGCCCATTAAATAAACAATCAGGACTTCTGTAGGTTCAATCATCTTTCTAAATGGTGGTTCTATTTCAATGAAATCTGATTCCAAATGTAAAACTTCACTTGTAGCAATATTTTCGTAAGGGTTGTTTCCATTTGGTCACTGATCAATCGCTAGAGAACGGCGAGGAGATTCGAAACGTACTCTGAGTATGGTATTATTGCTCTTCGCTTTCATACAAGAAGCTGAAAAGCAATTTTCTTAATTTCCTACTTAGCCAGTGCTTTACTTTTCGTATGTGACTCGGCATGTAACTTTTGATACTTTAGGTCCAAAAGGACCAAAATATTCATTCAATTGCTTGTTTTCATGTGACGTGATCATATTCCAAAACTGAAATCTGAGGTTTGAGTTTAATCAGATATATGACTTTCTAACAACGTTTGTCGTTTTAGCACATTTTAGCTCGACAGGTCTCTTTGCTTTGTAATAGTGCACGTTTGAATTTCCAAGCTTTTACGTTGCGTAACATAAAAATTGATCCCCTGGAAGGCTGTCGCGCAGGTCAATAGATGAGTTATATCACGTAGTTTTTGCTAACTGAAAAGCTCTTATACTGAAGAAGTATTAATTTCAATGTGACGGAGCTAGTACAGTGGAACAACACCTTACGGTCACGGTTAAGGTACCGCCAATCCATCTTATCCCAACTTTTTACGGTCACTATATAGCGTATGAGGGCGTATCTACGTGCGTCCTTAGGTTAGCGAGAAAATCAAATTAAGTAGCCGGAGTTGTCAGCAATCATATGGAAACCGTCTCAATGCATGTGAGCAACTTTGATTGGCGTCTCGCAAAAAGAGGAATTTGCCGAAGGCATGCACTAATGAATCGCAGTTCTTGGTTAATAATGCATCAAATCAGGTGTATGGTAAACTTGGTCAAAGGCTGTCAAATATTAAACATACCTTGGCCATAAGACTGATCCAGTTGTCCGTACATCCGTGAAAATGCAACTTCCTGTTAGCTTGGGCTATACGACTCTCAGCTTGGCACTCAATTCTTTGCCTGTTGGTGGAAATGTTAATCGTTACTCATGTTGCTACTTGGTTAAAATGCAAATAAATACAAAGTTACGTTGAGTAATTTTTCAATGAAAGTAATAGACCAGTTTCGATATATCAAAACTCAGCCTAAAATAATAGACCTCAGTACGAGGCTCTGGGGAATAACTACAGAGTTTGTGGGGTTTATTCCCCAGAGCCTAGTACTGAGGTCTATTGTTTTAGGCTGAATTTTAATACATCGAAATTGGTCTATTGTTACACATGACTTGTCTAGAGTAACATTTTTGTTTGTTTCATATTTTTGTGGTTAGAGCTTCAATATGATTTTGTTTCAAACTCGAAATTCCTCTTCATATTAATGTTCCTACCTCCGTCAAGGGAATATGCTGCTAAGCTCAGACAGCTTGTAACTGGCCTTTTGCGGTATACAGTTTTTTGCAATTGGGGCTTGCTCTTATTATCAATTGTTCTGTATCAATCTGCAATTTCTTATCTGTCCTTGTTCATGCATTTAAACTCATGTTGGGAGAACTGGCTCCTTGTGTCTTTGCACTGATACTCCGAGGATAAATTAAATACGTTTTAATTTAAAAGTTTAATTTCTATTAATGTTCAGAATGTTCTGACCGAGGGGTTGCGAGAGAGCCATTGCAGGTGATCACGTACTCATCTCTGTCATGTACACGTCACAAAGGTTCGTCAAGAAAGGCTCTTATCTCATCGCTGTCTAGGACAAATCTAAAACGTTTGAAAAATGACAATAATTTAACAAATATACAGCTTAAACGTACAGTGCTTAATATTTTAATATTAAGAACCGAAATCTTAAAAGATTTCGTGTGGCGAAAGTTTTTTAAAACTTAGAAGTCCATAAATAATTATACGCCCCACTGAAACATCGCAGCTACCTCGCAAGTTTAATCCTTTCAGTTTATTGCAGCTGAGGGAAAGTCGTTCTGCCTCACTTTTTGTGCAGACAAACCACTCTTCCATATAAAATAAAGACATCACAGGAATATGCAAAAACTA